TATCATAAAAATTAGAATCACAAGTTTATAGTTTGATAACGATTTTAGACCATTACATATTCGTTCTTCATTCACTTGACCTATTTCAAAAACGCTGTCGGAATCAATGCAAATAAGCGAGATACGTCATTCCAAGAAGGAAAGGGATCATGAGTATATAACTAAACACGAATAAAAACCTTAAAAAGGGTTTTGTGAACCATAGAAATAACATGACACTAAATATGTCATCACAAACCTTTATGTTCATGACAAACTCGAGATTAATATTAAAGAAACACAATGCATACCAGCTATCCTTGGATCATGGAATCTGACCTATTGCCTAATGCCTATCGCTTACCTCATGTCGTCCTTGGCGCCGAAAGCCTATTGAAATAGGTTTATAAGTAGAAGACCGAAGAAATGAAAACGAACAAAGGCACAACATCGTGTTTTAAAGTAAAATTTTTTTAAAAATCTAGTCGTTCTAGCGCTTTCGCACTTATTGGGGACACGCTTCGCTCACACGCACTACCACTACGCTTAGGATATTCTATACACGCAACGCTCAGCTCACAGTTATATATATTCCATAGATTATAACAAGCAAAACAAAGAAAGAGAAAGAAAAAAAAAGAGAATGAAAATAGAGTTGGAAAAAATAATAAGAAATAATAAAAATAATTGAAAATAATCAAACGACAAAAACTAGAAAGAGAAAGAGAGAGAAGAAAATGGAAGAGCTGAGACGGGAAGAGCTTGAACGGGGAAGGAAGGGAAAAGAGGAGAAAAAACAATGAGAACGTGAATAAAATTTTAAAAGAAGAGGAAGAAAAAAGAAGTCCAAAGTGTTCATTTCTTTCGAGATCGCTAATTGATGTCGTTAAAAATACTTTTAACTTTYAATTTCCGCAATCAAGCTAGCAGAGAAAACAAAACATTATCATAGCCTTAATAAACTTAGAGTTTGATTCGACATAAAAAGTGGTTTTGTTTGACTTAATTAACATATTGCGCAAATCATTTATTCTGCCCCAGTTTTTAAATTATTTCTACTACACATTTTTATTGTAGAAGCAATTTTTCATGCTTACCACGTAGTATAGATCGACGTGAGTATGAAATAATGACAAATAATCTAAAAATAATGGTAAAAGACAGTAAAAGTTTTTTTCTAAACACAGGGAGAAAAAACAAGAAAAAGACTTTTAAAAAAAACTTATGCGGTGTATACAGAATGATTTAAGCTTAACTTAAATTTTAATAACGAGGTATGGTATGTTCGTTATGATATATATTATATATATATAATATGTATATTATAGTATAAAAGCTAGTGACGATAGGATAATGCGAATTAAAAATTAAAGACCTTGCATTCCTCTGAGAAAACCAGTTTATACTCTAGATTCTAGATTTCTAGATTTTATTACAGCCATTTTTTTACAATCATTATATATCATCAGGGCTTATATCAATCGGTTTTCCCCGATCCTTGCCTAAAAAACCTCTCGTTCCAAAAATAATTATGCAAGCAAAATGATTGTTTTTTGTTTTCTGACTATTTTTCCAGACCATTTACTAAGTGTTTTGTTATGAAGTCGGATGTGATTGTTCCATTTTTTACCTATAAGGCAGTTAATATTTTCTCAACCCACCACAACGCAAAATGGACATCGTTATGAAATAACGTTAAAGCAAACCACTTTTCCTAAAAGTGAAGTGAAATAATTTGGTAGAAAATTTCCTAAAAGTGAAGTGAAATAATTGGGTAGAAAAATCAGTAAAGTAAAAACATTTATATACTTTTTTTTTTTTCCATTTGGTTTTGGAATTATTTGCACATGAGAATCAACTTTTTTTGCAGACAAGCAAAGTTATTTTTATTCGAAACAATTAATTCTTGAATTCGCAAGATTTGTCCATCATCAACCGTGTGTTCATTCGTGTTTTCGTCTTTTATCGATAATTGTCGACGTGGGGAGTCAATAGTTTCTATATTGCCAATATGCTGATCAATAATCAAATCCTAGCAATTTTTATATTTTTTCCTACCACAGTCGGTCATTGTTTGATTGAAAATTTTTGACCAACAATTCATTAAAGACTTGCTCGCTTTGATTCAGAATCTCTCTCTCTCTCTCTCTTAATATTTTTTTCTGTCATTTATAATTATTTTTTCCAATTTTTTTCCATTTCCTATTTAATAATCAGTTATATTTTAAGACATATTTAAGGATTGAAATGGTCGATAAAGACGAAACTAGTTTCCGTAATTAATCTTGGTTTTTTGTTTTTGTTTTTGTTTTTGTTTTTGTTTTTTTTTGTTTTGTTTGTTTTTTAATGCGTAAAAGACTATTCTAAAGGTTTAGAACCCCGTAACATTCATTATAGGATTTTTTCTTCTTTTTTTTTTAATTTGGACGGCTTCCGTAACAATTATTCCACTTTCAGTAGCTGTTTTTGTCATTAAAATCTAAAATATTGTTAATCATGGAATTGTAGTAATTGATACTTATTCGTTTGTCTCACTAATTAGGGYCATTTGCCTTCTTCTTCTTCTGCTCGAGAAATAGCCTGGTACGGACATCAAGGAGAAAGATTCTAGCAAACCCCTGAAACTTATTCACCATTGATTAAAAACAGTTTTCGTGAATTTCTTAGCAGCTTTATTTATATCGGAGAAATTAACGTTTGACAAAAGAAAAAAAAACATTATTTCAGGAATGACCTTCTGTGATTTGTGGAGGGAGGGGGGGAGGGGGTTCGTCGGAGGTCTCTCCCGAGCTTATGGTTGACAAGAAAATACCCATTTTAATATAGCAAATATGCGAGTAAATTGATAAACCAGAGTTAATGAGAAGGAGGTATTTTTCAAGTTACATACCCCAGCTCTTAATGGGAACTTTTCTAATTAAAAAAGGAGTTTTTGTATTGAATATTTTGCGCCATCATTTGGCCATCACCTAATTGTCATCATCACTCAGAAATGGGCCGAGAACAGAGGCATCAGTGATATTATTGAATAGCTTGTTGTTCAAAGAATTTGCAGTTAATTGAATGCTTTGAACCTGAAGTAAGTAAACTGAATTGAATGTTTAAAACATATCTGTTAAACCTAGTTGCTCACACGGGGATTTGCTTCGGCGGATGCTCTACAGCTACCTACGCGTGTAGGTCACAGAATGGAAGCGGATGTTCGGCACCAATAAACAAAACAAAAAAACAGAATGAATGAAGAGATTATATATAATTTTCTGAGTTATCAGAAAGCAAACTATCTAAAAAAATCTGAGAGTCGGCGAAAATGAGAGATGTGAGTAAAAATCAACATGTGAGTTGAGCGTTGCGTGCATAGAATATTGAATGAAGTGGTAGTACATGTGTGTGAAAAGTGTCCCCAATTAGTGTGAAAGCGCTAGAACGACTAGACACTTGAATAAAGATATTTGTTTATGATTTTTATTCATTTAAACAAAAACTAAAGAAACATACAGCATCGATTACATATTTTTTATCTTCAGTTTTTAGTCCTATTTTGCCGCGCAACTACTTGCAATCGATAGGTTTTCTACTAACGCGGCGGAAATGACAATCTATTTACGAAGAATCTGAAGTTTCATGGAAATCGATCGAATTCAGAACAGGAGCCAGGACAATATTATTTCAAAAACCCAATTAGAAAATCGCCCCGTAACAGCAAAAGCGAATMAAAAAAAAACAAAAAAAAACGAATAGACTGTTAAAAGCCCGCTAACGTATTGAGCTATTACTTGTGCTAAATTCAGAAATATCTGAGTGTTTTGACGCGATACGAGCGAGTCGAAACTATCGCTTTATTTCGCGCCGATTATATATGAATAATATGCAAAAGATATAAGAGAGAGGGGGAGGCTACCTATACGTATGGATTTCACTAACCTAACTAAAACTGTGTAGTACTTAAATAAATTTTTTCTTTATATRAATAAAATAGTTTATTTAATAAAATGATATACACAGCTAGCTTAATTGATTTAATTTAAACGAAAGATCAAATCAGTGGCTGTTCAAAAACTATTTAACTGGCCAATGAAAGCGCGTTTTTCAACTTAACGGGCTTTATTTTTCATTTGTTACATGGGGACTGAATTATAGACAACAACTGAATTTCAGATAGTTCTTTCCTCAATCCCTTCTTGCCTCCTAGAAAATCTCCCCAGGCGTTCATCAACAGTACAATTTGATTATCTGCCGCTAAGCTACCCAAGCAGATGATACGTCCAGCCGTTGCTCAAGTCCAAAGATAAGAAGYATTACAAAAATATATATTAAATTCAATACATTGCACTTTATAAGAATCATTCCAGCTGGATTGGACAAGTACTCAATACCAACACTAGAACCTTTTTAGCTTGCAAGTAATACTATAATTCCTTTTGAGACCGTAAATAAGGTTATTTGTCAAGCCAAGACTTACAGATTGACAGGCGTAGAGGCTCATCGACGTGGTATTAAAAATCGTATAATACTCAGTCAATCTTCTGCCCATGGTTGTTTATGTGCAGAACCAAACGCGGTGTAAACCAATGTACCTGTAAGCGCCATGAGAGCTGTCAGCCAGAAGACAAGACGCCATTCCTCCAAGGTCTACATTTCGCAAGAAAACCAAAAATGAACTCAAAAATGTAAGGTTAGGGTCAAGTCCAATGCCAAGAGCAAGATCAAGGTCAATGC